CGTGTCTATAAAATGACTGACAAGAGGCCAGATCACACACAAACAAGCATTCTGGATCCTAACTCAGTTTTCCGAATGGGATTTCTCAGCCATGTGCTACACTTGTGCCAAGGCCATGGCATAAATCATTATTTTTATTATGTTCTACAGATATTTCTACATTATTTGTACAAAAGTGGGAAAGAAATAAAAAACAATAGTGACCTTTAATGTATATACCTGGGCCTAAAAGAGCACTGTGTCATGACAGTGCCAAAGGGGCGCTGAACTACACTTCCCATCAGCCCCAGCACGTCACATGTCCTAACCACTATCACCAGTGTCTCATTTCACCCTGATTCACACGTCTATATAAGTTCTAGTTTCTCAGTACCTCCACACTTAGAAGTGTGTGTGTGTGTGTGTGTGTGTGTGTGTGTGTGTGTGTGTGTGTGTGTGTGTGTGTATATAAACAGTATGCATCGTAAAGATATTGTATGCAAGTAGCAAGTAGTGAATACAGCGTAGCTACTTGTAATATTCTGTCTACCATTAAACACTCACTAATATTCACATGCATGTACAACCCTGGTTCGTAGCAGGGTGTGTCTGTGTTTGTGTGTGTGTGTGTGTGTGTGAATGTGTGTATGTGTGTGTGGTATCAGCGTTAAATGAGGCAGAGACACCGCAGCACTGGAGTGATTATTATCACACAGAGAAAGTGTGTTATCTGTGAAGCCTTCGAGAATATGTCCTGTCACCTGTGTGTGTGTGTGTGTGTATGTATGTGTGTGTGTGCGGCTTAAGACGACTTTAAGGGATCACTGTGAGTGAGACACAGTGATATTTTACAGGAGGTGACAAATAACCTTTAACATAATCTACTTATTATCAAGGGGGTGCTCAGGAAGCTTGTCAGATAACACACACACACACACACACAAACACACACTGATATAACACAGACAGAGGAGTGTGTCTTGTCCTCTAAAGGCGGTTAAAGCCCACAGCATTATTTACACTCTTTATCCCACACTGCTGCTCAGGCATGAAGGCTAATCTGATCCACGCTAACATTTCCTCCAGTGTGTTAGCGCTTAGCGCACCGATCACGCGGACTTTATTTTAACAACATGACACCAGCAACGTGTGTGTGTGTGTTTATATAATATTAATAACCCTAAATAATATTAAGATTTTCTAATATTTTAAATAATCATTATCTATCGGTTATTTTATTTAAATTAATGATTAATTATATGTTCAGATCCATGAACATATTTTAATGCACTGTATTTTTCTTTATTTTTTTCTTTTTTGCAATTAATTAAAAATATACATTGTTATTTATGTTTGTAATATATCATCTATAACTTATTTTTTAAATTATAAAATACAATTATTTTTATATACATTAAATATTATTAAAAAGGTTAAACCTTAAAAATTATATTTTTCATAATAGTTTCTTCTTTTTTTTTTTAAAGGAATGTCTCTACATCTTCAGAAATGCCAGGTCATATGAATATACATGAAAATGCAAATTTGGACACGCCCCCATCTCCTCCCTCCATTTCACATTCCATAACATCACTAACATTAGCTAACCTAGCTAGCTAACCCGCTAACTGCTAGTGAACTAGCTCGCAATTGTCCTGGATCAATTTCAGTTTCAGAGTCTCAGTGTTACATCATTTTCCTGCTGCTTTCTTTAAACATATGTACTTATAAGTATAAAAATAATGTTACTATAGCAACCAGCATTTTGTTAGTTAGTTAGCTTAGCACACAGGTTCTGTAGCTAAACATTTCCAGGTATCATGTTATTCTCTAATCTCAGATGTGATTGGTCCTTGCTGTGAAGCTTATGCATAGCCCCGCCCCCAGGTGATTTGGGTTCTACCCAAGTACTGAGAAAGTCTCTGTTTAATGGGAAAGACTCGGATCTATAAAATCAGAAAGATCATTTTGGATCATATTGGAAGAGTTTGGAGAGTTTAGGGGGAACCTTAAGCAGAATTGTGAGAAATGTAAACTTTTTGAAAGATGATGTTCACCCCGTCTCAGGTACAGCTGCTCTCTAAAACACATCCACACAGTTCATTTCTGATGATGGAGGTACAGACCACTAGAGGTCTCTGTGAATATTCAGAGGAATTAATCGAGATGAGCAGTGTGTTTCATACTTTCATCCTTCTGTTTCTCCTGATACATCTCTCTCTCTCTCTCTGTTTCTCTCTCTCTCTGTCTCTCTCTCTCTCTCTGCCTGTCTGTCTCTGTGTTTCTCTCTCTCTCTGTCTCTCTCTCTCTCTGCCTCTCTGTCTCTCTCTGTGTGTCTCTCTCTCTGTCTCTCTCTCTCTCTGTCTCTCTCTCTAGCTCTATCTGCCTCTCTCTCTCTGCCTGTCTGTCTCTCTGTCTCTCTCTCTGCCTCTCTCTCTGTCTCTCTCTCTGCCTCTCTCTCTCTGCGCATGCGCGGGTACGAAGGAGCGAGTGGAGCGTCGTGAGCAGGGTTTGCGAGCGATTTTCAAAACTTTTTTCCTTAAGTGTGTTTTGTTAAAAATTACGAGTGGATGGTTTAGGTGTTGGGTGGTTGTGGGAGTGTGTTTGGGTGTTTGGGTGTGTGTCTGTGTGTGTGTGTGTGTGTGTGTGTGCGTGAGGGGTGAGCCTGCATTCGGCAC